TTTGCTGCCTTCCAATGAAGATTAGTGAAGCGACCCGGGGCCACGTAACGAGAGAGAACACTGACTGGGTAGGCCAAGTCCGGTCGGGTGCACATCATGGCGTACATGAGGGACCCAACAAGTTCCGGGTATGGCTCATAGCAGGCCTCTGGTGTGGGTACAGCAGGAGCTGTAAGGAGGTGTTGCAGCGGCAGCGGGGTGGCAACAGGTGTGCACAGCTCCATCTCAAACCGCTTGAGCACATTGTCGATGTAGAACTCCTGGGAGAGTGAGATGGTGCGAGCCTTGCGATCACGAGTGATCTCCATTCCTAGGTAGTGCTTGAGGTCACCAAGGTCTTTCATCTGGAGGGCCTTGCTCAGAGCTGCCTGGACTGAGGTCATTTGGGCCGAGTCCTTGGCAACGAGGATAAAATCATCCACGTAGACTAGGATGTAGAATGGCTCAGAATGACGACGGATGAAGAGAGTCGGGTCAGCAGTTGAGGGGTGGAAGTCCAGGGAGAGGAGGACTTCTTTCACCTTGTTGTGCCATTCGCGAGGGGCTTGTTTAAGGCCGTAGACGGGGCGATTCAGCTTCCAGACAGTGTTGGGAGGGAATTCTCCTGGGAAGCCTTCTGGTCTGTCCATGAACACTGTCTCCTTGAGGCGTCCTTGTAGGAAAGCGGAGGAGGCATCCATGGATTTGATCTCAAAGTCTTCTCGAGCTGCAACATCCATGAGCGTTCGAATGGTGGGAGGTTTGGATGTGGGGGAGAAGATTAGGTCGAAGTCGCGGTACCGCTGCTGGGTGAAGCCCTTGGCTACGTAACGCGCTTTGAACACCGGTGCCTCGTCTGGGAGCTGTTTTACACGGAACAACCACTTGCCCCCGACGATGTTGACTCCTGGAGGTGGAGTCTCGTCATCGAAAGAGTGGTTGCGAGTGAATGCTGCAATCTCCGCGTCCATGGCAGCACGCCATTCGGCAGCATGATGGCCTGAGAGAGCCTCTTGGACGGTGAGAGGGATAGGGATGGTCGGGTTCTCCGCGAGGTTGAGGGAGGGTGAGCCAGTGATATCGGGGAAGATGTGTGAGAGCTGAGGAATGACTGCATGGAGATCACACAGCTCCTCATGCCTGTCTTCTAGAAGGGTAGAGGGCACATCCCCCCCAGCAGGAGGAGGCGGTGTGATCATTGTGTATCGAAGAACCATTGCGAGTGGAAGAGCAGCGCGATGGGAGCGGGTGCCATGAGCCACCGGTGAGGAGGGCGGGGCAGGCGGTGTCGGAGAGGGTGACTTAGGAGGCTTGGGTGGGGGAATGGGCCGCCGGCGGTACGTGATCAGCTCGGGCGACTGTGGGAGAGCGGGTTCCTCTGTGGTGGGGGGAACTGGGGGAGGAGGTGGGGCCGGAGGGTGGGACCGCCGATGGTAGGTGATAGGTGCGCTCGGAGGGGGCGGCGCAGCGGGAAGTGAGGAAGGTGAGGGGGGGGGGCGGAGCAGCCGCCGAAGACACCGGTGAGGCCGGGTCAGAGACCTCAGAGGGAGATGGTGGGATGGCAGGAGAGGGAGGAGGTGAGGGGGCAGGAGCAGGCGGGAGGTCGGGAGGCGCGTCAAAGTCTGCCCAAACGAGGGAGGGTGGATCAGGGAGAGGGTCCCGTCCCGAAGGGGAGTAGAATGGGCGGGTCTCATCAAAGACAACGTCGCGGCTCCTGACCAACTGTTGAGTGGAGGGATTGAGGAAGAGGTAGTCAGGTGAGTCGGCGTTGTGCCCAAGGTAGATGCACGTCTGAGTCTTGGGACCGAGCTTGCCACCGTTCCGGCGTCGAGCCTGAGGGTTGAGGAGGACATAGGCGGTGCATCCCCAAACGCGAAGAGAGCGAGCAGTGGGCGTTTTCCCGAGCCAGAGTGTGGTTGGAGTGGTGTCGGGAAGGTGCGGATGGGGGTAAAGGTTGTAGAGGAGGGCGGCGTGGTAGAGAGCGTATCCCCAGAGAGAGTGTGGAGCGTTGGAGTGGCTGAGGAGGCACCGAGTGATCTGCACTAGAGTGTGGTTGCGGCTCTCAGCTATGCCGTTCTGTTGAGGGCTGTCAGGGAGGGTGAAGTTTTGCTGGATGCCTTCGGAGGAGCAGAAGGCTTTAAGCTTGTCGTTGCAAAATTCACCCCCCCCATCCGAGTGAAGGCGCTTGACCTTGCGGTCAAAGGTGGTCTGTGCCTGCTTGACCCACGCCATGATGACCTCTGGAGCCTCAGCCTTAGTGTGGAGGAGGTGAACAGAGACGTATCGTGAGTGGTCATCCACGATAACTAGGAAGTAGCGATATCCACCTCGTGCAAGAACAGGGGCAGGGCCCCAGACGTCCATGTGCACTAGGTCCAGTGGTGCCGCTGCGATTGTGGGTGAGGCAGTGTGGGGCTGTTGGCGCAGTTTGCTCTTGGTGCAATCAAGGCACGTGGGAGCGGGTGAGTCAGGTGGTGGAGGAAGTGTGGCTGGCAGGCCGAGAAGAAGTTTCTTGGAGGCCATGTCAGCAAGCGTGCGGAAGTTTGGGTGCCCTAACCGATGATGATAGAGGATGGTCGGGTTGGAGAGGCTGCGACATGTGCATGGTGTGATGGGAGCCTGTGCTTGGGTGGTTGAAACCTGTGGGAGAGGAACGCGTAGCGTGTAGAGGCCGCTGCTATTGAGGGTGAAGCGGGCCAAGACCTTGTTGGTGAGTGGGTCAATGATGTCGCAGTGGTCCTCATTCTCCGAGAAGATGGTGCGTAGCCCTGCTTTCTGAATTTCTGTTTGAGCCACTAGATTGTGGCGTAGTGAAGGCACGCACATGCCAGTGACGGTGCCGGAAGGGAAGGCTGGGCATGGGACTGTGGAGGTGCCCTTGGCTAGGGTGGTGAAGCTGGAGTCAGCTCCCAAGAGAGGGATAGGTGCTGGATAGGGTTTGAAGGAGAGTGTCTCCTTGAGCACAGTGTGAGTGGCCCCACTGTCGAGTGTGAACTCTATGTACTGTGGTGCCTGTGATGAGTCGATGTACTGGGAAGTGGCTTCATTAATCATGGCAGTGCCAGGAAACAACAGGTTGATACGCACATCAACAGGAGCACTGTCACTAGCACTAGCCGAAGAGGGGTCCTGGACCTCAACGAGATTGGCCTTACGAGCGCGCATCCAGTTTGGCGGCTTCTTGTCAACCCCGTGGATGGCATACCACTCGTCGTCTTTCTTCTTGAAGCACGTGGCAAGGGGGTGGTTAGTGCCACCACACACTTGTCCCTTGCGGTTGCCATACTTGACGACGTAGGTGCACGGAGGAAAGCGGTTGCGCTGGAAAGGCGCCGAGGCAAGGGCCGCTGCAACACTTGCTAGGGGCATGGGAGCACGGATGGCGTGTGCCTTGGCCTGAGCAGTGGAGTCTTTCTCGGCAGAGAGGAGTGCGGTGGAGACCTTAGCAAAGGTGAGGTCTTCCGCTGAGAGCGTGAGGAGCATCTTCCTCGTGACTTCATATGCCGAGGAGAGACCAACAAGAAGGGCGGCTGCAGGGGCTTGTTCGGGGAAGACTATACCCAGCTCCTTGAGTTCACCATGAATGGTCTGCACCTTGGCGATGTAGTCAGCCATTCCTGAGCAGTCCTCAAGGCGGACTTGAAACATGCTGGGGATGAGAATCGCCACTCCGACCGCCGTCTTGTTCATGAACCGATCCTGGAGATACTTCCAGATGGCGTTGGAGGTAGGATAGTTGTGGAACGTGTTGACAAGTTCGGGAGGGGTGGAGGCAATGAAGACGCTGATGATGGCAGCATCGGCCTTCTCCCACTTCCGGTACTTCTCAACAACTTCTTCGTACGTCATCACGTCAGCATCACTTGAAGATTCGGTCGGTTCACGGGGAAGAGTGGGCTGTTTCCCCTTGCCACGGTTGAGGAGGACGTCCTTGAGGTCAAGGCCCTGCACGTCACGGCTCAGGAGGTGCTTGTCAACTCCGTAGCTCCACGCCTTGAAGTTGGAGCTAGAGCCATCGGCTTCAAGGCGGAGCGGGGTGATGGGGTTCGCCATGGTGGAAGACGAGAAAGCCATGGTGGAGACCCCTTAACTTCTCGCGCGGAGCGCCGCTCTTAAGTCACCAATAGGAACTTGAGGTTTGGGTTTCCAAAGGAGATTTTGAAGAACCGGAGGTTTAGGGTTTACGAAGGAGAATTTGACTGAGACGCCAATTTAGTGTCAACTACCTACTAGTCCTATTCCCACACACCCCCCCACACACCACCCTCAGCTTCGCGGCTACGCTGCTGCTCGGCTTCGCGGCTACACGGCTGCTCGGCTTCGCGGCTACGCTGCTGCTCGGCTGCGTTGCTGCACCTGTTCAGCTGCGGGAAAGAGGGGGATGGGGGTAGGAGTGCAGATGCGGGGCGACGGGCGGCAGCCCGAAGATGACGCTGCGGGGCGACGGGCGGCGGCCCGACGAGAAGCTGCAGGGCGACGGGCGGCAGCCCGTCGAGGAGAAGAAGTGACGAATTGATGAAAACGAGTGTTAGGTTAGAGCGCCGACGATGCGCTTACCAGAGAAGTTTCCGTCGATGGTGACGGGAAAGGTTTGGCGGGAGAAATTCCGCCGATGAATGTCGCGAATCAACGGCGACGAAATTGGCGATGGCTTCCCCGAGGTTTGCGGGACAAGTATCCGCAGAGATGAGAGGATCACGATCCGCGTATGCGGTTGAGCTGCTCTGATTACCATGTCAGAACTTGAGCTTAGAATCGATACTATAGTAGTGAGCTCAAAGCTCTTTAAGTACATCCGGGATGAGCAAGGTAGGGATGAGGAGGGAATCAGGAGGCAATCCTAGGGAATCAAGGGTAATCCCAAGCCAATCTCCAATTGGTGGGTTGGAGATTGCTTGGAGATTACATTTGGGTTTGGTTGGGATGTGGGTGTACACCCAACCAAACACAAAGTGCAAACTACACTAAACTAGGATATAAAAGTACAAGTACAGAATGTGAGATTGGGGCCTAACACCAACATGCAGGGGCGAGTAGGGGATGGACCGGGAGGAGCCGGCGCGATCTTCATTGGGGGGTTGTTTACCGTACCGGCGTCGACCTCTCATCGCTCTTTCCGTTACGACGGCCCTCGACCCCCTCCTTCGGGGCAGACGCCGACGCAGCCGGAGAGCGGCAGCGAGGAGGAGGATGAGGAGGAGGATGGTGAGGGCGAGAAGGAGGAGGACACTGAGGGGAGCGGGGATGACAGCGAGGCGGCGTGGGACCTAGAGATGCATGGCGATGGGGAGGGGGGAGATGATGATGATGAAGACCACGAGATGGATGGGTTGGAGCCAGAGGGGCGGGAGGAGGAGGTGGGAGAGGGTGGTGGAAGGGCGGCAACAGAGGCGGGATCACAGCATGTGCGTGAAGGGGGAGGGAGCGTGGGGGTTAAGGTGGGGGGGAGAAAGGCCGTGACCATTAGGGAGCTGAGGCAGAGGAAGAAGGCCAACAAGTTGAGGGAGCGGGCGTATCCCTGCACGTTCACTGGGGAGCCCTTGGGCGAGGGTGTGATCGCTCGCGAGTTCCTAGACGAGGACGGAGGGTCCGAGAGTAGTAAGGGGACTGGCAAGGGTAGTAGGAAGCCGGGGTGGCAAGTAATGATGTTCGGACCGTTAGGGGCAGACGATAAGCGTCAGTGCAAGATTTGCACAGACAGGATTTCGTGGAAGCAATCCACAACAACCCCCGGCGAGCGGCACTTTGCGAGCTTCCACACTGCGCACATGCATGTGTGGCATCACCGTTACCACACCCCGTCCGTTCACTTGCCAGGGGAGACGTTTCCACGTGGGGGCTACAAGGGAGTGTCGGATGGCTACGTCTATCAGTGGCCACATGCCAAGACTTGGCCGCAGCTCGCCAAGGGGAAAGGGATGGCGACTGGTGGAGGTCATGGGTCAGGCGGGATGGAGCGGTCGATGACAACCAACCTGACCTCGGTGCAGCTACGCCAGGCGATCACGAAGCTGGTGGTCACCTGCGACCTCCCCTTCCGCATCGTCGAGGCCGAGGCTGTAAGTGCCCCATCCCATCCCATGCATGATTGGGCAAGTATGTGGTTAGTGGACGGGTCTGTCCCTTTGTGTTTTGAATGTTTGCGTGTGGCCCAGTGCAGTGCTATATTATTTTCATCCCATCCCCCTGACGTTTACTCCCCTCTCCCCCCTTGTCTCTACTCCTCTCCAGTTTCATGAGCTACTCATCCTGCTAAACCGCAACTGCGCGCAGAAGAACTTCATCCCCTCGCGCTGGACGGTTTCCCGCGATACAGTGGTCGATGCGGCTGCCGCTCTTCAGTCAGCCATTGCGGAGATGCTGGCAAAGGAGGGGGATCTGGGGTGCAGGGTGTCGTTCACCATCGACATGTGGACGTCGCCCAACAACAGGGCGTGGCTAGTGGTAACGGGTCACTGGATCGACGAGAATTACCAGCTGCGCACAATGGTGTTTGAATTCCGCGAGATTCACGAGCGTCACAACGGGCAAGTAGGGATGAGCAAGGTGGCGAACACCTGTTCGGTTCGCCTCGAACACGTTCGAGGGCGAACCGAACAGGTTTTTTTTTTTTGGCTTAAAATGTTCGCGCGAACAGTGTTCGATGTTCGCTACCGAACACGTTCGTGTTCGGGCCGCCGCTGCAATTTGCCCGTGACGAACACGAACACTGTTCGAGGTTCGCCCGAACACACGCCTTCACAGGCGAACGGCGAACACCATTTTTTGCTCAAAGTGTTCGGCGAACCGAACTGTGTTCGGTTCGGGAAAAGATGATGTTCGAGCGAACTCGAACCCAAACGTGTTCGAGTTCGCCATTTGCTCATCCCTACGGGCAAGCAGATGGCGAGGGTGGTTGAGGAGACTGTGGTGCAGTGGGGGTTGGAGACGCGTTGTCTTGGGTTCACCTCAGACAACGCCTCCAGCAACACTGCCGCTTTCAGGTGGATGTCGGAGGAGGGTGGTGGCCAGTGCTTCTTCAACTCGCGGCATGCACTTCCGGTACGAAAGGGAGTGTGCGTGGGATGTGCGATGAGGGAGTCTGGGTGCGTCGTTCCTGTGATGTGAACATGTTGTGGTTGTAGTACAGGCGGGTGGGCCTATGCGGCTTGAGAGTGGTAGTGTTTCGCGGATCTATGCCAATGTGCACTCACACTTCCCTTTCTCTCCGCCATTGATGTTTTGTGATGTGCGCAGATGCCTGGCACACGTGATCAACCTTGCAGTGAAGGCAGCACTCGCTGTGACCGCCATCCGCAAGTTGTTGAAGATTCTGAGAGAGATGGCGTCGTGGATAGGCTCCTCGCCGCAGCGCTCAGGGAAGTTCTTGGGCCTTCAGCGGACCCTGAACGCGCAGGGCAACCCCGCCAGACCGAAGCCGGCATTGAAGCTGGTGCAGGACAGTCCCACACGCTGGGGGTCGACCCACAACATGGTCGAGCGAGCTGGGGTTCTGCAGGAACCCATCTCTGTCTTCTTTGCCCAGACACAGGTGTGTGTGTGTGCCAGGTGTTGTGTATGCGGTTTTATGTGTTGGTATGTCAGTCGGGGTGTTTTCTTCTGGGACTTGCACCACTGTTGGCCATGCTTGACTAAACTTATCGGACCTCCAACAACCTCAACCACCCCACTTTCCACCCTAACACCCGCCCACCCATACGTTCTACCCGACAGGGCGTGTCGAAGGCTGACAAGGCGAAGATGGACACCTTGCGCCTGACGGACGCAGACTGGGAGACTCTGCATTCTGTCAAGACCTTCCTCAGCCCATTCGCCAAAGTCTCCAAGGCCGCGGAGGGAGCGGCGTACCCTACAGTGGCGATGGTCCTGCCGTACTACAACGGCCTGATCGACGCTATGGAGTCGCGCCTTGCCAATGGGCCATCGGCTACGCTGAAGCCGATGATTGAGGCGGCGCTGGGTCTCTTGAAGAAGTATGAACTGATGTCAAGCAACGAGTTGTGGATCGCCACCTTTCTGGACCTTCCATGAAGGCGGCGTGGTTCGAGGACGCGCACTGGGAGACGCTGCAATCCCGATACCGACCGGAGGGCGAGGCCTCGTCCCTCGTCAGGCGAGGTGATCCAGCTGGTCCGCGAACGCGTGGCCGAGTACCAGGCCCGGGCTGCAGCGATTGCCCCTCGGCCGACCCCACTTGCCCCAGTGACGGAGGAGGAGGAGGGAGACGCGGCGGATGACGACGAAGACGCCGAGTTTCTCCCTAGTCGCCGACGGCCTTGCGGCGCGTCTTTTCGGCGAGCCAAGAGGCGGGGAGGGGTGGGATGGTGCAGGATGACGAGGTTGGCAGGTACTTATCTGAGAGGGTGCGGTGCGACGTGTCAGCGTTGAGTATTGCGCAGCGCCACCAACATGCAGACGCTGAGGCGCATGGCCCGGGATTATCTTGCCATCCCTGCCACGTCCGCGTCGAGCGAGCGCGTGTTCTCCCTCGGGGGGCCGCAACCTCATATCCTGGAAGCGGCACCGCCTAGCCTCTCAGAGGACGCGAGCTTCCATGATTCTCAGATCATGGTACACCTCACACCCTGGACAGAGGATAGGCGAGGCCCGCCGTGCAAAAGGCGAGGCACCACCAGAGTTCGCCATTGAAGGCGAGGGGGAGGAGGAGGACGACGAGTGGGAGGAGGAGGAGGGGGAGGAGGAGCAAGGAGGGGGTGGGTGCTGGCGACACCTCTGACGCGGGAGCATGGCTGTTGTTGGTAGTAGCAGTGGTGTGCAGGCGTAGGATTTAATTTGACAGTGACTTTTATATAGGCAAAACATGATGGTGGTCGTATGCTAGTGTGCGTTGCATGAACCACATATACACCCTCCACCCCCCTATCTATCTTCCCAACCCTCCAGATTCCCTGTTTGACCAATGTGACTATAACGAAAGTGCCACACGGGCGAACTCGAACATGTTCGGTTCGAACAGGTTCGAGTTCGCCCACACATACCAAATGTTCGCCCCCATGGGCGAACGGCGAACACCTCCTGAACCCTAAATTGTTCGCCGAACCGAACCGTGTTCGTTCGGGAAATGTTGATGTTCGAGCGAACTCGAACCCAAACGTGTTCGAGTTCGCCCTTTGCTCATCCCTAGTGGTAACACTAATGTCGCCCAAAATCGGGCGAACAGCTTTGTAGCAATTTCGGGAACCCATCTCCTCGCCCTCCAATTGCATTCAAGTCCCAACCAACCTTCCTGACTTTGAAACTCTTGGACCTCCAGTTTTAAATGAAGCGAACTGGTTTCCAATCTACGTGCCTGACAGACGCTGAAGAACAACAGCCCGTGATGAAAGAGGACAATGTGGAGGGTGGGAGGTTCATGTTCATGGATTAAAAATGATGTCCAATTATTTAGTGAAGTATTTCTAACAATGGAAACAACCATGGCATGGGGTGTTGTGGCCAACCATACAACCATACTTTGAACGCAAGTCGGAGTTCCTATGCAGCCCCCTCAAAGTCCTTACCACTCCTCTCGTGGTTAGCACGAGATCTTAACAGGTTGCTTCGTATTGAGGCATAGACTATTAGACAAGGTGCTTCATACAGATAACTGAGAATACTGCAAATCAGGAAGCAAGGAGAAGCTGTTGGGAATGGAGCCCGTCAAATTGTTGTTCGAGAGATCTCTGTGTGTGAAGTAGGTAGGTCAGTAGAAGTGAAGAGATGAGACTTGTGGGCATGGCCAGAGGGATAGCAAAGCACACATAAGCGAAATAGATGAACAGGGTTGATTAGTTGTTGCAAGAAACCATGCGTTCTTCAATGTGGTCAACCCCAGGAGTTAATCATGGTTGGGGATATCCAAAGATTGCTGTCATGGATACATTAAGGCATTGATGGTTGAGTAATACCCTAAAGAAAGCGGATTGTATCCATTCAGGTGATTCCCATCTACAAGCGATGAAGAACTACAGCCCGGGATGAAGAATATGAATGAAGAGGGATGGAGGTTCAAGCGTGCCGAATGCTGGCCAATCATTGCATTGGAGTTTACTTCAACCCTGAAAATGAATAGAATAATAAGTGGTTCTGTTTGGTTACAGAAAGCAGGAACACGGGAATTTGTTGCTAGCAACACAGCCATCCCTTTGAAACGCAAGTTGAAGTGCAGCCCGTTCAAGGTGCTTAACCATTCCTCTCATGCTTTACACAAGGTCAAAACAATTTGCTTCGTATTGAGACATTGACAAAAGACAAGGTGCTCATTACAGATAGTTAATATTAAAAAGTGAATCGATGTTGCTGGGAATGGAGCCCGTCAAAGCGTTGTTCGAGAGATCCCTGTGTGTATAGGTAGGTAGACTGATAGGACTGGAGAGGTGGAACGTGTGGGCATGGCTAGAGGACAGCGGGCACATAGAAATGATATTGATGAAACAGATCCGGTTAGGTAGTGCAACTAGCCATTCGGTTCGTCAATATTGTCAACCCTAAAGCGAATCATGGCTGGGATTTCTTAAGAGTGCTACCATACATTCAGGCCCTGCAAGCTGTGTAAGGCACCTAGAGACGGTGGAAATGTTCCATTCAAATAATTCCCATTTACATGCCTAATAGACGATGAAGAAGAACAGCCCAGGATGAAGGAGGAGGAGGATGAAGAGGATGAAGATGGAAGGAGGGTCGTGCGCTATGAAAGAAAAAATGCGAAGGAATGTTTACGTATCACATTGATGCATTTGCGCATGTATCCCAACATTTCAAGATCCACACTTTCACAGCCATAATGTGCCACATCGTGTTGCCACAATGTATGCACATATGCCCACATTACCACACTCCCAACTCAGCCGCCTCCAACACAAGTCACGTCCAGCTCTTAACAACAGATACAGTGTAAGTATAACTTCAGCCTAACTCTGACCATTCTCAGTCAGTTCTTCTCTCCTGCTACTCTTTTCGTAGTTCTCCTAGTTGTTGATCCATTTCCTCAATCAATCTCTACCCCAGTCGCATCTCCCGGGAGTGATCCGAATGTTCCGTCAGGTTCGGATTCGACACAATGGCAAGAGGAGAATAGCATGCATCTGGTGTTCCAGCACTTGAAAGTTCCTCCGCCCCAACACCATAGGCGTAATCCGTGTCTGCAAGCATTGCAGCCACAAGTTCAAGGATGGCGCATTTCGATGCGCTCAGAACCTCGCCAAGTAAGAAGAGCGACGTTCGCCTGTGTCCAAAAGTGTCGTTCAATGTGCGTGCGGCAGTGCGCGCGCATTACGAGAGGAAGGTCAATGATCGCAAGGAGGAGACGCGAGTAGAAGAGAATGTGCTCGGCGCCGTCGCTGGAGGGTGAAGGAAAAGGGCGCATCACTGAATTCCTTGGCGGCGTCCGGGCGCATGTGCGAAGACTGAGGTGGACAAGTCCATCTGCTTGCTGTTTGCCGGCCTCGCCTTCCCGAGCACCACACCGACCACCCGTTGTCCCCACAATGCGGTCATGTCAATTGCCAAGGAGGGGAGTGGTTACGTTCTGCCGACTCGCCGCTATGTGGGAGGGGCTAGCCTTAACAATGCCGCATGCGCATCGAGCAAGGACTTTTTCCGGGTGACAAATCGTACTGGATATAATGACTAGATAACCACGAGAGACTGCAAGCCAACATTCTTATGACCAACGATTTGGGTGCCGTGATTACCGAATCTGGTGATTGCAAGATGACATACAAAACAGGTGGTTACATCGCTTCAATACTCATCATAGACAAAGTCTGGCTGGAAAATGTGGTAGCCTTTTGGAATGGGCAGAGGGTCAAACCACTGGAATGCATGCAAGGAGCTCATGGCGAAATGGCCCCACACCAAGCATGTGCTGTTGCGCCACGCACAGGTGCGCAGACCTCCTCATGGAGGACGTGGGGCAGATGCCGTGGGTGAGGGGCATTGTGGAGCGAGAGTATATCTCATCTGTTTCATCCGCAACCACCACTTCACCCGCGGGTACCCGAGGAGTAGGGCGGTGCAGGGCGGGAAGGGGAAGCAGGGGGCTGAAGCCGGCGGGCACCAGGTTTGGCACACTGTACATACCCAACTCACAGTCTGTGGCGAGGTGAGAACCTCGTTGGTTCAGATGGCGAGTGAGGATCTTGGGCAAAGGGGGGCGAGGAAGCAGACGGGGGAAACGTTCGCACCCATTTCATGGATGAGGAGTGCTGGAAGAGGCGGCTTACCTGGTGGTAGGGGTGAGCAAAATGATGAACGCCTGTTCAGTTCGCCTCGAACATGTTCGAGGCGAACCAAGCAGGCTTTTTTTTTGTGGCCAAAATGTTCAGGTCGAACATGTCGAACGTTCGCCTGAACATGTTCGAGGTTCGTCTGGGCCGGCTGGACGAGTCGCGTCGAACACGAGCGAACACTTGGCCGCGACCAAATAGAGTTGAGCTCATTTTATGAGCTCAAACTCACATCTTCCTAGGCGCCCGCCCCTGGTCTAGCCTGAGCGCCTTAGCCTTAGCGTTCGGAGGCTTTCAACGTATCTTCTTAGGATTAGTACGTCGACCTTCATTGCATTGAGATGGTTTTGCCTTCAATTCCAGAATGTTGGCTTTTTACATAGCGCTTAAGCATTTGAGCATTCGATCCGCCACTACACCTAGGTTTTTAGGGTTAGTGTTTACGGGACATCTTCCCAAGCTATTCGTACCAAGCGTTGGTGGCACTCGAGCTCTACCACTATCTTACCTCAACTTTAGGGTTTGGACTAGATCTATGGCCTCCTCTGGTCATCATGAAGGTGCTCGGATTCGCGAGAGCAGTACACCGACGTCACCCCCACGACCCATGCAAGGGCGAGTAGGGGACGGCCCGCTGGTGTTGGTGCTTGTTTTTGTTGGGGGGTTGATGGCCGTTCCGGGCCCGACATCCCGCCACTCGTTCCGGTACAGTGGCTCCCGACCCCTCCTTCAGGCCAGATGTGGACGGAAAGTGACAGTGAGGAGGAGGATGAGAACGAAGAGAGTGAGGACGGGGAGGAGGAGGACGAGGACGGGAGCGGTGATGAAAGTGAGGAGGGGTAAGATCCCGAGAAGGACGGGGGTGGGGAAGGGGGTGATGATGAAGACGACGAGTTGGAAGGGTTGGAGCCAGAGGAGGTGGATGAGGGGGTGGAGAGGGTGGAGGGGTAGAGGTAGAGGCGGCCTCACAGCACGTGGCGGAAGGAGGTGGGAGTGTGGGTGTTAAGGTGGGGAGGAAGCGAGTGTCTATTGGGATGCCGAAGCGGAGGAAGAGAGCTCCCAAGCTTCGGCCGAGAGCGTATCTATGCACATTTACGGGAGAGCCTTTGGGAGAGGGTGTCATCGCGCCTGAGTTTCTTGACGAGGACAGGGGGGTCCGAGAGTAGTAAAGGGAATGCCAAGGGGAGGAGGAAGCTGGGTGTGGCAAGTCCAGATGTTTGGGCCTCTAGGGACAGACTACAAGCGTCAGTGCAAGATTTGTACCAATAGGATTTCGTGGAAGAATTCCACTACCACACCAGGCGAGCGTCATTTTGAGAGCTACCACACAATGCACATGCACGTGTGGTATCACCGGTACCACACTCCACAGGTCCAGTTACCTGGCGAGACGTTTCCTAGAGGGGGGTACGTGGGTGTGCCGGATGGATACGCTGAGGCTTGGCCGCACGCCAAGAGCTGGCCCAATGTCCCCCAGAAGAAAGGGAAGGCAAGGCGAGGGGAGCAGGGGTCTGGAGGGATCGAGCGCTTCATGACGACCAAGCTGTCTCAGGCGCACCTTCGGCAGGCGATCGCCAAGCTGGTGGTCACCTGCGACCTTCCCTTCCGCATTGTCGAGTCCGAGGCGGTGAGTGTCCGTCCACATTCCAGCTATGGTGCGCATGTTTAGGACAGTACACTGGGGGGGTTTGAAGAGGATGTTGAGGGGATATGTAAGTCTGATGGTGCCGTCATGCCACTCCATCTCCACCACATTGCCATCCGTTCTAAACCATCTCTGTATGTCATTGTCCTATTTCCTCTACAGTTTCGAGAGCTGTTGGTTATCCTCAACACCAACTGCGCAAAGAAAAACTTCATCCCATTGCGCTGGACGGTGTTACGCGACACAGTGGTGTTTGCTGAGGCTGCCCTCCAGGCCGCCGTTGCAGAGCTGATGGCGAAGGAGGGGAGTTGGGATGCAAGATGTCATTCACCATTGACATGTGGACGGCACCCAACGGCAAGGCATGGCTTGTAGTGACGAGTCACTGGATCGACAAGACCTTTCAGCTGCACACTGCCGTGCTAGAATTCCGCGAGATGCTTGGGCGTCATACTGGCGAGGAGATGGCGCAGGTGGTGGAGGAGATGATGGTGCAGTGGAGGTTGCAGGGGTGCTGTCTTGGTCTCGCGACCGACAACGCCTCTAGCAACATTGCAGCATTCAGGAGGTTGTCGAAGGGGGGGTGGTTTATGCTTCTTCAACACTAGCATGCACTTCCGCTAAGTGTGGGAGTGTGCATTGGGTGGGTGTGTGTGGGTGTGTGGTCGAGACCCTGCACCTATGACACTGTGTATCATGCCACCTCCGCCAAAGCCATGCACCATGCCACCTCCCCCATGCCATGCACCATGCCACCTCCCTACCAATGCCATGCACCATGCTGCCTCTCCTATGCCAAGCACCATGTCACCCCTCCCCTTCCCCATGCCATGCACCTTGCCACCTCACCTCCCCCAGTGCCATGCACCATACCCCATCTATTGCAATTGCTGTTGTGTGCCCACCCGCAGGTGCTTGGCACACGTGATCAACCTTGCAGTGCAGGCAGCGCTGGCTGTGAAGACCATCCGCAGGCTGTTGAGGATCCTGAGAGTAGGCATGATCATCCTGCCCCGGCGGGTCGGGCCGACCCGACCCGACCCGGGTTTTGACCCGGTCGGGTCAGGCATTTTGAAGCGTTGACCCGGGCGGGTCGGGTCGGGCCGACCCGACACCCGAAACCGGGTCGGTCGGGTCGGGTCAGTTTTTTACCCGAAATTTGACCCGACTCGAAATCGGTACCGCGCCCCTAAGTCGGGTCGGGAGTTTCCCTCCCACGACAATTCGAACTAAACCAGATCGCGAAGTCAATGTCTAGGGTTTTTTTGTTCCCTCGACATTGACTTCGATCTGCTATACCTAGGCAGCTAGCAATAGCTCGTTCTCAAGCTCTAGAACTCTCTAATCCAGCGCCCATGTTTAGGAACCCTATTTCAAGTGTGTCAATGTTGGCGGAATGGACTTCTTAGCCTAGCGCGACCAACCTCAGATTTTCGATTTTATAGACTTAGTTATTCCTAGCTCTCACACACGACTAAACTCTGGCCCGCGTTCAAATCGCCCACTGCGCGCCTACCACGCCCGCATCTTTAGGGACGCGACCCCCATTGTCTAGGCCTGCGCCATTACAAAAACGTCGCGACTCCAAGGTCCGAAACGTAATCGACGCCGCTTGCACCGAATGGAGGGAGAAGAAGACAGCTCACGTGCTATTCCTGGGCTTCGCTTGGAGGCCTCCCGACACCGGCCTCCAGGGCCAATTTTCGCTTGGGGAGCGTCTTCAATGGGCAGGAAATTGGGTGGGACGATGCAATCGCGACGAGGAGGCGTGAAGAGGTGCGGGAATGGGAGTCTCAAGGACCTGGCCCAGTGACGGAGGAGCAAGGAACACGAGGAAAGGAGAAGGACCCGGATTGGAGGCCGGCTCCGGGGGA